TCTCATCGCTGTCTCTGTACCCAACACTTTCTGGGTTGTCAGATATCTGTCTCTGTACCCAACACTTTCTGTGTTGTCTGATATCTGTCTCTGTACCCAATACGTTCTGGGTTGTCTCATCGCTGTCTCTGTACCCAACACTTTCTGGGTTGTCAGATATCTGTCTCTGTACCCAACACTTTGTGGGTTGTCTGATATCTGTCTCTGTACCCAACACTTTCAGGGTTGTCAGATATCTGTCTCTGTACCCAACACTTTCTGAGTTGTCTGATATCTGTCTCTGTACCCAACACTTTCTGGGTTGTCTGATATCTGTCTCTGTACCCAACACTTTCTGGGTTGTCTGATATCTGTCTCTGTACCCAACACTTTCTGGGTTGTCTGATATCTGTCTCTGTACCCAACACTTTCTGGGTTGTCTGATATCTGTCTCTGTACCCAACACTTTCTGGGTTGTCTGATATCTGTCTCTGTACCCAATACGTTCTGGGTTGTCTCATCGCTGTCTCTGTACCCAACACTTTGTGGGTTGTCTGATACATTACTTTAAAAAATTGCCTTTTTAGAAGTTTTCAGACGGTGCATGCTCACATATTTTAATTAGCTTCTTCCATATTTTTGGGGACAGATGAAATACTAATCTTTACAGAATCAAGCGTGCTCAGTGTGTGTGTGTACAAAATTTCAGGGTTATTTTATTTCTTTGTGTTTAATGCATTTATTTTTTAAACTAAATCAACCAAAATATCGATTATCGTTGCTTTTTCTATAATTGAAAAAGATTATTTAGTATCAGACTCATATTTTTGATGAATGTAATTAGTTATTAGACTCCGTATTAACAGTTCATTAAAAACTGCGTCCATTTCTGTGCGTCACTACGCAGCTATTTTTAGCCAATGATACAATTACACGCAATATTCTAATTACAGCGGTAAGAAACGACAACTCCATGTGGACTGGTTTCAAACGTTGCTGCGGCCATTATTATTATTATTATTTGATAAACCCGCTTCTTGCTTGATTATAAAGCAACCTCAGAAGTTTCTAGATAAATTTGTACTTCAAATTTTATGAAGCTGCTAATTTTAAACTCCATTAAACGCAAATAAATTAGTCTTGGTTATGGCCCTTTAAAAAAACATGCTGACATCAAGCGATGAGTTGGATTTTTTTAATAAGTAAATCTAATGAAAGCAGGAATTCGATTTTAGATAAGCTTTTTGTGTATGAAATAAATAGATGACTGGCTTATATTCAATATGAAATGATTGCAGAGGAAACTACATATCTAGATAAAACATGCTAGGGTGAAGTTAAAAAGTAAATGAATTTGAATTGCATGGCTTGCCACGTTGGCATTGATTTGTAGAAAAAGGTTCTGCAAGTTACCCACTAACTGCAAGCTGGATATCTGCTGGTCATTTTTCGTTTGTAAAGAGTTCTGGTTGATTAGGAAAGGGCAAGTCACATGATGCGTTTTGTTGTTGATTATGTCATTCCCACGCTTCTCTAGGAAACTGTAAGTATAATCGCAAGCCCGTTATTAAAAATATAAGCAGATTTTTTACTAGTTGTAGCAGAAAGTGTTTTTCTCATTGTGAGAATTTCTTCATTTCTTCAAACAACTTTAGCATGTGAGAAAATAAAGAGCGTATTAGCCGTGCTAAAACCGAGCTATAAATACACATAGAAGTCGTTCACAAATGACGTCAGGCTCTCCCAATATTCCATTATTCCCTACCGCAAAAGACCCTATCCACCCTAAAATAACATCAATTGTTCTATGCTCCTACAAAAAAATCATATATATATATATATATATATATATATATATATATATATATATATATATATATATATATATATATATATATATATATATAAACAAGTTTGCAGCACTTGTACTTCTATTTTAAAATAAATGCTATGTGACATCACTTTCTAAATACTCACGCCTCCCCCTCTCTCGTACATATACTCACAAATCCAACCCATTCTCCGAGAGTGAAAGATGTTATCTATGCCCTATCCCAATCTAAGAAACCAAGAAAGAGAACCCGTTATCTTAAAAACAAACGACATCGTCAATGTCACCAACCCGCAAGTTCCACTTAACCACATGAGAACAGAAACACGAGGGATTAGATCTGGCATCTGCTGCTCTCGTTTCTTCAACTTATCGGCCCAACTTTTCTTTTTTTTTTTTTTTTTTTTTTTTTTTTTTTTTTTTTTGCATAACTAGAAAACTTTATTTACACAGTAGAAATAACAAGAATCCATCATTGAAAGAGTAGATATAAAATAGTAGAAAATACATTTGAGCAAACCGTTACATATATATATCGACTATAATAGGCTCTAAATCTTCTGTGATTTGATAATAGACAGGATGTTTTCAACCCAGATTTTCCCATTAGCTGGGTGTATAGCGTGTAAAGCGGTAAGTGGGAGAATTAGGAATATTAAAAAACGATGTAAAACAAACACACCCTATTTTGCAATGCCAGCTACTTACCGTCCAAATAAAAAATTGATAATCATGATGGTGGTCGGGTGCAACATATAAGAATGAATTTTAGAATGAAAAAGACAAGAGGGACGAAAATAAAATCTCCGGAGATTGCTTCTCTCCCCTTGATTACAGTATTTCAAGTTTTTCCATGCTATCATTCTTTGCTAGTAGCATAATTATTGTTATAATTTCAGCGCATTAAGTAATACAATTGATTGGTATGTTTTTTTTATAACTTTAACTTTATTCATTTTGTATAAACAGTATTTTTTTCAAGTCGCCAAGGATTGCTGAAGAATCTCATCTCATAACCTCGGACAAAGGGTTACAGAGGGAAAAGCGCACATGTGCGTTTATATAGTAGGGTGTTCTGAAAGCCATCGCCTGTAGGTAACATGTTCTTAAAGACATCCCCTGTATGTGACATGTTCTTAAAACCATCCCCTGTAAGTGACATGTTCTTAAAGTCATCCACTGTATGTGGCATGTCCTTAAAGCCATATCCTGTATGTGACATGTTCTTAAAGCCATCCACTGTATGTGACATGTTCTTAAAGCCATTCCCTATATGTGACATGTTCTTAAAGCCATATCCTGTATGTGACATGTTCTTAAAGTCATCCACTGTATGTGACATGTCCTTAAAGCCATATCCTGTATGTGACATGTTCTTAAAGCCATCCACTGTATGTGACATGTTCTTAAAGTCATCCACTGTATGTGACATGTCCTTAAAGCCATATCCTGTATGTGACATGTTCTTAAAGCCATCCACTGTATGTGACATGTTCTTAAAGCCATTCCCTATATGTGACATGTTCTTAAAGCCATATCCTGTATGTGACATGTTCTTAAAGTCATCCACTGTATGTGACATGTCCTTAAAGCCATATCCTGTATGTGACATGTTCTTAAAGCCATCCACTGTATGTGACATGTTCTTAAAGTCATCCACTGTATGTGACATGTCCTTAAAGCCATATCCTGTATGTGACATGTTCTTAAAGCCATCCACTGTATGTGACATGTTCTTAAAGTCATCCACTGTATGTGACATGTCCTTAAAGCCATATCCTGTATGTGACATGTTCTTAAAGTCATCCACTGTATGTGACATGTCCTTAAAGCCATATCCTGTATGTGACATGTTCTTAAAGCCATCCACTGTATGTGACATGTTCTTAAAGCCACCCACTGTATGTGACATGTTCTTAAAGTCATCCACTGTATGTGACATGTCCTTAAAGCCATATCCTGTATGTGACATGTTCTTAAAGCCATCCACTGTATGTGACATGTTCTTAAAGTCATCCACTGTATGTGACATGTCCTTAAAGCCATATCCTGTATGTGACATGTTCTTAAAGTCATCCACTGTATGTGACATGTTCTTAAAGCCATCCACTGTATGTGACATGTTCTTAAAGCCATCCACTGTATGTGACATGTTCTTATCTATAGCCATCCTTTGTCTGTGACATATTGAAGCCATACTTTAATGTGTAATTCAACCACTTGTTATATGTGGGATATTTTTATAAAGCTATTCCTTATGCATGTATGACACACCCAACCATCAATTATGTATGACAACATAAACGTTCTTAAATAAAGCTAACCCTTTTGTATGTGGGACATGTAACTAGTACAACTTTTACTTGTCTAGGAGTCAAGGGAGCCAACTATGGTTGAACAATTTCAAAACAAAGAAAGTAAATGACTTCAGACTAAGGGTTAGGATAGCCAATATAGTACAATACATCATTTAAAACTGTATCAACAAAATCAAAATGTAATTTGTATTTACTTTTTACAGTTGTATATAGGGATTATCTTTTTTATTTAAATAGATCTTGGAGTGAAGGCATGCACACCTCTGTTTAGAAACCTACAAATCTAGATATTTAGAAGTTGCTAAATGCTACTGAAAATCTTCTTCTATATATATAATTCTCTTCTGGGAGACGCTAGAAAACAAGCTGTAAACGCGCTCCCTACCACCCCCACCCCTACATGGTCCGGTGAGCTGTGGTTCACTCTAAATGTTTACAGAGCCGGGTTTAGTGACGACTATTAGGGGCAGATAATTTAGTTTGAAACGATTTTAAACGTGGGGGGGGGGGGGGGTAACAAAGTGGAGTTTACTTTAACGGAGGGGGGGGGGGTATCGTCCTTAACGAGCTACTTATAGTGTTTAAAGAAATATTTTCAGTGGCAGCGTTGGTAGTGTCGAATTCACAAATTATAAATTACTGAAAAGTAGAAAAAAAAAAACAACAACTGAATAGTGGCGTATGATATGCCGCGGGTCGGCTCGTAAAGAATAATTTAAGAAGTGCTGGTTATTTGTTTTACAGTATCAACTATTTTGAAACCCTACAATTACGAAGTTCTGATTGCCTATTGTAAAACATCACATATGACTTTGTGATTTGAGTGTGAACATTTAGAATGAAGCAGAAAAACAAAATACGTTGTATACAATTCTGAATGTTTTAATTCATTTGCACACAGCTCACTGTACAATATATGAAAGATTATCGCACAACAGGTGCCCACACATTCACCATGTACTTGCCCATCTACTAGCAAGGCATAAAAAGTAAAGTAATCAAAAATAGTAAAGTAAAACTAGTCAAAACATTCAGCAATATAAAATAAGTGCTCCAGATTTAATAAGAATGTGGCTGTCACTCCATTAGGCCATCTAGCTTTGTATATATCTACACATTCTTGAGTTGTCACAATACAAACATTTGAAGAAAGAGTTAAAGATCAAAAAATTATTTAAAGGAAAAAAAAAGCTCTTCAACTAACAAAATACAAACAAACGTTCATGCAACTGTGCCTTTTCCTTCTTTAAAATGCAATTTTTTAAATGATATAAATATTGTAAATAATTGAGAAGTTGTTTAATAACTGAAATGCTTCTAAAATATTAACTTTAAAAATGTGTACAATATAAACTAGACAAATTGACCAGATCACAACTGCAGTTTTTCAACAGCTCTCTGTGTTAGGAAACTAACTCTACATAACTGCAAGAAAAGTAAATCGAATTTTAATTATCAGTGGCACATGTGTGCTTGTCAGCCGTTTGAACCAGACTACATGACTGAATTGTTCCTAAGTGGTAACTCAGCTTTTGGAAGGTTAGACCTGTGTCTACAAGGGAAATAACCCACAAACATCACAAGTACCAACACAGTTCCATTAACAAGGCGTGGCTATTTGGGAAAGAAATAGAACCTTAGCATTGGTTTTTATCAATAACAAAAATCAAAACGAGGAGATGAAAATCAAGTGAAACCAGCACCAAAGAGATTTTTAGTTATCACTGTTGTCTGATTACAATGGAGTAAAACATCTTTCCATCTGCCTGTATAAAGTGCCCAGTGAAGTTCAGAAATAAGTGCTACAGCTTATCAGAGCTAAGGTCAGTTTTGTAAGTTAACCACTAAGAAGAACTGTGCACTATTCGCAGTGCAAAGTGAGGTACAAGCTTAGGTTATGGAAAGAATTAGCATTCATGAAATGATAGCATGAATATGTACAAGTTTGATTAATATTGGCACAGTTTTCTCTAAATATATAATGCATGTACATTCCTGAGGGTCAATTTTTTCCTGCATGTTGGACAGCAGTGTTGGCTGTTGATAGCAGCTTTAATACAGGCTTCACAGAAAATATGACCACAAGTAGTGGACATTACTTGTTGTCCTCTTCTTTGAACCTGAAGACAAAAACAGTTTTTAATTCACATATTTTTAAATAAAATGTTGACATTTCACAGAATAAACTTGAAAAAGGGGGTTAATTCATTTTTAAAGTTCTGTTACAGAAGTATTTCAAACTTTAAAATGACATGTTGTATAGTTTCAGTGTGAACTTATATAAAGTAGTGTTTATGAATAAGGATAAAATACTTGACAAAGTAAAAATGTACCTGCTTGACATCATCCAAACATATGGGACAGATAATTTTGATGCCTGTGGGAGACTGAAGTAAACTTGCATTTGCTGATGTGCTGTCAGAAACAGATCATTGTTAAATATAAATTATTCATTTGTAACACAATCATATTATACAAATAATTGCATGCAATGTTACACTAATGTGTTCAAGGATTTTCCCTTCATATTTACAGTAGCTAAAACAGAAACCATACGGGATCTAAATGCCAGTAATCATTTTTTTTTCAATTGAAGCCTTGCTATTGGTGAATATTGTTCTTTAATTTAGGGAATAGTTTTGTTAAAAAATGATAATGTAAAATAAATTGAAATTAAAAATAGACTAATGAATGAGTATTAGCATAACCAATTTCCCTTTGTAAAGTGTCAGATAGGGATTATACTTATATGCTAAGAAACAACTTTCATAACTTCCCCGGTTGCTTTCATTGAATGTTACATTAGATACAACTAAGAAGTTTATGATATGTGCTGGCAACAGGTAATTCCAAATTGTTACACCTGCATTGGTGATACCCCACTACAAGAGCAAATAAAATTTCAATGTCAACTTTTGGTTATAGTATAGTGTTTACATTTTGTTCTATATAGTTTACACTAAGTACTTACATTCTGACATTTGTTAGCCTTCATTTTTTAATTACAATGGATACTTTTTAAATACAAGTATTTTTCACTTACTAAACCTACTTTGGTTCAGGTGTATCAAAGGGAACATCAGGTAGTTCATCACTACTTTCATCAGAATGGAGAACATGAACCTCTGAATTTGGATGAATGTGCCGTCTCCTCGGAGAATATACATTGTCCCGCTGAGAAGATGATCTGTGTCGTCCTCTCCTCCCACTGCCTGTTCTTGATCTCACTGGTCCTGTGCATGATCATCATACCATTTTCATTAAGTAGATTCCATCTAAAGTTTACTACACTTCAATCATTTATCTAACTAAGCTGCATTCTTTCAACAAGGCTCTAAAATCAATTGAAAAAAATTTCTTACTTAGAAGTTTTCAGTCTATATTATAAAATGAAATTAGGACAAAACAAGTGTTCTAAATTAAATGGAGAAATTAAATAATAAGATAAAACAGCAAAACTGTAAAAAAAAAATTGTTAATACAATTAGGAAGATGCTCCTCCATATGTACTGTTTAGAGGTATGAATAAAATACAAGTACTTAAGTGCTTTTTATGATAACATTAACATACAATGGAAAAACACAAGTAATGCAAGGTGTTATACACTGTAAGTGTAAAGACAGGAAATACAATAGTAAAATAGACAAGTTTGATCATTACTTACCAACATTATCAGTGTGAGTCAAAACCTATTGTAAGAAAAGTTTAAAAACAAGATGGTAAAGTTTTGTCTTTTTTAAAATTTTATTTATTAAATTATTGCATGTTTGGGACAAAAAATGTTGCTGTTTATAAACGTGCTCTACATTAGTTAGATTTAGCCTTTTAAAAAAATTAAACAATATGATATTTATAAAAGAATTTTAAGTGACTATCTCAAGAAAAGGATGCAACTTACAGATCATGGTTAAGTTAAATTATTTAGTGAGAAACTGTAACAGAACTTGTACTAAGTATACTTGCCACAACAGGTGAATCTATTAAACTTAAGGAGTTATTTCGAGTGAGGTCTATGACTTCATGAGAAATATCTAATGTCAAGTCAATGCACTGAGCTGAAAAAAAATATCAAAATTTTATTTTTTGTAAATTGACTCATCTATATCTATTACCCCATGGGTATATTTTTTTTGGAAGAAATCTAGTATTTATAAAACATTTATTTTCAATGAAAATACATGAATACAAAACTCAATGAGAGTTCTCAACACTAATAAATACATAACATTTTTTAAAATACATACATGCTGGAGTTTCAATAATGTCATCGTCCACTTCTAAGACATGGGGTTGATTATGAATAGGCCTTCTGTTTCTTTGTCTGCGTCTTACTGTTCTTAAAGCCTAAAAACATTTTGATTTGATAGAATAATCTCAACCCTCCAGTAAGTAGAAATTAGTTTTACTTACTTCATGCATAATTGTTTTCTACTTTAATGAGAGTTTATTGTAAACATTAGTAATTAGTAGTGTAGTAAGGATTTTTTTATCACACACTATTAAATTGGAACTTGTGAGGGTGTAGACGAAGAAGATACCACCAGTTGTGAGAGTGGGGTTTTTGTGGTTATATGAATGTGTCTATTTGTATACCGTAATGTATACTGTAATACACATCTGGTGACATCCAGTTCAGGGACCGGGTGTTATAGTTTTCTTAAAAATCGTAGCCTGGCACAGTTTAGTGAAATCCAACACAAGTCTAATTCAAGATGTTCTATAATTATTTTATTTAACTCAAATCAATCTCCTACTTCTACCTAACTAGTCTATACTATATACTGTCTACTAATACTACTAACTACACACTCACATGACCAACCGTAACACACTATCTACCTCTAACTCTCTACATATCTCTGACCGTTCTCTATTGCTACCTATCACTAACTGCTGACCCACACCTCACTGGTCATCTGCCCATCCCATGTGACTGGTCAGCTCCTGTATTTCCATTGGTGCAACTAACTAAGCTATACTCTGTTTCATCTAACTTCTACTAGACCTATCTGACGTTAACTTGAATCATCAAAGAACTGTAGGCCTAATGTTTATTTATAATGTTTTTTACCGACAGATTTGATGAAAAACCTTCCATCATATTGTTGACATGGATTAAAAAGATTTTTAAGATTTTGCAATCAAAGCGACCGTAAAAATAATAAAAAATATAAACTTAAGCCTAAAAATAATTCAGAAATTTAATATTTTTAGAATAAATGTTATAAAAGTTGCAAATCCAGAGAACTTGAAAATAATTGTTTGAATTAAAGGCTACATTTCTATTTATTTTCATTAAGCCTAAGTTCATATTTCTCGCTCATGACTGATCTGTTTCAATGTGCTGACATTTTTTTAAAACATTCTATAGGCATGTTTTTATTTAATAGGCCTGATACACTTATTATATTAGTTAACTTCTCTTGTTGATAAAACTACATAAACGAGTGAGCGAGCTGTCTGCCACGCGTGCAGCCCGTGTCACTGATTGGGATGCATTTCTTGCCTACATGTGATAAATTTTACGAAGTGACTACGCGTCTCGCAGAGCGTGGCCCCTAAAGAATAGACTACTCGTCTCGCAAGTTTGATTTGCCATCTTGTAATTGAAAATGCTTATTTTTTCTTTTCTATTACATCCGCTGTGGTTGAGTCAACAGTGTGCCAGCTGTAGTCTGACGTTCATAGACCCGGAGTTCAGAGCTCGAACCCGGGGTTAGCTGTTAGCTCGACCAGTACTAGTCTTTTTTTTTATAACATTTTTTTTTCATATTGAAAATATGACGTAGACTATGATTCTTTTTTTTTTTAATAAAATTTCCAAACATCGTCACTGGCGTGATTGCTTGCTTGCCTTACGTTTACTATCCAGTGAGTGGAAAATCCCACCACGGCCCACGGTCGGTGGGTTCAGCAGGCCTAAAGCATACGTCACAGACGTTCACACGAGATCGTCTGTCTTCACTTCTCTCTTCCTCCCACCCCCTCACCCCTCAAGCAAATTGAAATTTTTTTTTAATTCACATAGGATAAATAATATAGACTTAGATTTAGATCTACTATCACGCATGCTAGTAGATAGCTAGACCTAAAGGTATAAGGACAGTTTGATTTAGCTAGGTTGCTGCTAGATCTAGGACTATCATCTGACCCACAAACTTTCCTTGACACTACACTCAACTGTACTGTTTTTTTACAAGTACTAGACTCTTAGGTGTTGAAATAATATAAATACACTTAAACTCGATCTAAATCTATGTCAACTTTAAATTGTTACCACGAAAAAAAAATCGGGCAGTCCTGACATCTGTTTTTTTTTTTAGATCGCGTGCCACCTAGGGTAAAAATTAAGCCTAACGCGGAGCGAACTGCGCAAAGGCGGCCTAAATTTTTATGCAATGACAGTTTTTAAAAGAAAAATCAAATAGATCTTAAGAAAATATTTTAAACTCAGTCTTTGTGAATATTGCGCTGGTCCCATAACCAGTAAGGGAGGAGGGTTAGATTTTACAATCACATCTCAATCTTTTATAAATTATCCTAATTAAACCTTGCTGAAATACTTAGGCCTACACTGATTAATCAAAATCAAAACTAAAAAGGCCTTAAAAAAAAGCCTTTAAAAAGATCTTTATAGGCCTACTTGAAACAATAAGACTAATGAATAAGACAATTAAGACATGATTATTTTTTGTTTCTTCATTTGGCCTATACTAAAAAAATGAATATAGAATTAGAAAATAGGTAACATATCCAAGTTAAGAGAATCCTTTCGATTTGGTTATGTTGTTTTTTTTATTGCAGCATACCTTCACTCCCCTCCCCATACATGATTTTGATGATTCTTAATTCTTAGTAAGAATCTTACGTCGTCGTTACGAACAATCCGAACATCCTAGTCTAGTATTTCTCGCTAACTTGGAGGCGTGGTCGGTTGCTAACAACAATATGGCGCCCGGACCGGACGTTTGATTTCCGGCGATTTTTCGGCCAAATTCCAGAGACCTTCAACTAATTACATTTAAAAATGTTTACCACGCGCAAAATGGCGGGATTTCCGTGTCATAACAACAAACCATAGGTGGCAGGGTTAGATATGCCAGAAAAGCATTTTAAAATTTGGTTTGGAGAACGGAGGCTAAATTCAAAAGTTGGTTTCATTAAAATTAATAGAATTTTAAAAATATCAACAGTATAGGTACAGAAATGAGCGAGAACGTAAAGCACTATTAGTTTTATCAGTCTATGAAAAAAGAAATCAAATATTGTGAGCTGTTTTTTTATAAGACCGGCGTCCGTATCACAACCAATTTATTTTTATTTTTTAAAAACCACGTGACCGCTATTTGATGATTACTAGTGAGGAACTCTGGGTGCATGGCCACTTAAAAAGTCTAACCTGATGTGTGGTTTTCTTTACCTTCAAGGGTTAGAAGAGTTGTCATGGAGAGATGTGTTGGACATGGCAGTGATTGACAATAAATATTAAATTAAGTAATTTAGTTTAAAACGAACTAAAAACTCCAAAGTTAGTGCCTAATGGATTAAATATGGATGTCTATTATTCAGTGGTCATGTTTAAATTGATAATTGCGTAAATTCTAGATTTAGTGAGAAAAACTATCCTAGTCCTAGAATCTAGGTCGTTTTCAGGTCAACTTTAGAAATCAGATCTCCGAATGGTTGTCACGGAAAAACATGTAGATCTATCATTCTATGTGATGTAGATCTAGTAGTACTTAGAACTAGATCTTCTAGATCTAGAATCTAGATCTACTACTACGTAACGTACGTACGTACTACGTAGGGTAAAATCTTAGTTTAGCGTCGTAAATTCCAACGTAGCTAGTAATGTGCGATGAAGGTAACTAATGAATATTTCTTTCATTTGGCCATATTTATGTCATATTTTACATAATATAACAGATAATTGAATAACAAATCACAATCCAAGACCAAACCAGTCATAAATATCCTGGAATAAACTTTAAACTACCCCGTTCGAGACAACAATGAGTAAATACAAGCAGCGGCCATGTTTTAAAAACAATAAATTGTCTATTCGCATGTCTTTTGTGTTGATTTTGTGGTTTAATATGATTGTTTTGTATTGTTTTACTATATGCCGGGGGTCGTCCATAAATGACGTCACACTCGTAGGGGGGAGGGGGGTCCGTAATTTTGTGACATTGTGTGATGAGGGGGAGGGGTTCAGATGGTGCGACGTCACACTTTTGCATTTTAAAAAAGCAATGTTACAAAACGAATTTTAGACGTTATTTTGCGTTTTAAAAAACTGTTGTAATACATTGTAATAACAATTGATTAAAATACTCTATTTTAACAGAGTTCAGACAAGATTTTGGAAAAATATAGCTGTTTAAAAACAATTCAACTGCAATTTTGAGGGGGGGGGGGGGTTGTAGGCTGAGGTGTGACGTCATTTTAGGGGGGGGGTCTGGCTTTTTGTGAGTACGTGTGACGGAGGGGAGGGGGGGGGGGGGTAAAAATCGTCAAAAAAGCGTGACATCCTTTATGGATGACCCCCTGTATAGTAATTTTTCTTTTTTTTAAATATAGTTGACATGAATGACTAATAGACCTTATCAGACTTAATAGTGTGCATCCAAGACCACAACAATTGTTGGGAGGTCGAACTTTTGAACACTTTATTTGCAGTAAGCAAATCAATATTAGATCGCTCATAAATGACGTCGCTCTTAAGATAGTAATGACAGCGTGCATTATTACAGAGCAAACATATGAACATATTGTTTCATATAGAAATTGTGATTTGTGGTGGGGAGAGGTTGAGCAGAACTCAGCGATGTGATTTTGGAGACGGGTCAGGTTTTTTTTCGTGAAAACGGGATGGTTGTGGGAGAAAGACCAGCTGTAGAAGTATGACGCGTTATTCATTGGTGATCCATTTTCTCAGTGGGGACGAAAGAACTATTAAGAAGGGTCAAGAAATGTAAAAAGCTTGCCGAGTCGAATTTCTTGAACCCTACCTTTTTCATTCCCCCACTTAGCTCATCGTCACCGAGTTAACGCTCGCACGTGACGTCATGTAGCGGTACCGCCGACCGTTAGGCTAATTTTATAGAAAAAAAAACAACAAGCACTGCCTTTTTGACGCTTTTGCGACGTTTAGTTTGATTACATAAGTTGGTGTTCATTAAACAGCCCCTAACACATCTATCACTCGTCCATTTAAACGTACGTAGTTATTTCTGCAAGCTTGCTGTCTTGAGACTTTCGGCCCTTTAAAAATGTATTAAGCTCACACCGTATAGAACTAGACTACCCATATTAAGCTCCAAAAGAAGCTTGGTGAAAACAGGATGGCCGTCCGATTTTGTAGCTGCTCTGCGCTTTATAAAAAGCACAATAAACGATAAGATGACACTTATATTAAAGTAAATTATAGTTCTGAATCTTGATACATTAAAAGTGATATTCGGAAATTATGAGCCAGACAGTCAACATATTTCAATTTAAGTCCAAGAAAATAAATTTCCTCAAACGATGGAACATTACTAAATTTTTGCGCAGTTTAGCGAAATTGAATTTAAGTATTTACGTCATCTTACAAAGCGCGATAGCCTATTGGTGCTCTAACGCGGCCCATGCTAATGGCTGTATTCTTAACGCCCCGCATTAGACGCGGCTTATTCGTCGGCAGGCATTTGGTGGCAAGCCTTTTTGACGGGGATAATGTGTTAAGTTAAGGCCGTTTTGCCAAATGTCTTAAACTAGCAGACTTGCAACATTTATGATAATTCGTTTTAAGCAAGGTATACGTATACTAATGCTTATTTATCGTTATTTTGATTGAACAAAGCATTATAGAGGTTCTCCATCAACCACATAGGTATTTTTCCCCGTCCACCTCCTTTCATGAGACCGACACGTCATAAATTGCGGAGCCGCCTGAGTTGACGTCACAAATCTTCACTCACTCCCGTAGCAAATTATATGTGACATCATTTATGGACAACCCCATATCACTCACTTGGGTACTTGATATTGACAACAAAGGATAACCAAAATGTGTCTGGCAGGTGGAGACTTGCGATCGACCATAATGACAACACGCACTTAAGGGGTGGAGTGGCTGATTATTTTAGATGATGTTTTACGAGGGAAGCTGGTGGATAATACATTTTGTCTCTCTGTATATATAAATGATGACGAACATTTATTGTTGTCAAAATTATGGCTAGAGATCTTAGATAAGGCAGAGCAAAGCGTAATTTTTTACATTAGGGGTCATCCATAAATGACATCAAGCTCTTTTGACGATTTTTACCTTCCCCCCCTCCCCTCCGTCACACGTCGTCACAAAAAGCCAGACCCCCCCCTAAAATGACGTCACACCTCAACCTACAACCCCCCTCAAAATTGCAGTTGAATTTTTTTAAAACATCGATATTTTTCCAAAATCTTGTCTAAACTATTACAATTTATTAAAACAGTTATCTAAAACGCGAAAGAACGTCTAAAATTCGTTTTCTAACATTGCTTTTTTATAATGCAAAAATGTGACGTCGCAACATCTGAACCCCCCCCCCCCCCTCATCACACATCGTCACAAAATTACGGACCCCCCCCCCCCTCCCCCTACGGATGTGACGTCATTTATGGATGCCCCCTTATGACTTGTTGTGACATTGACAACAAAAATATGACGGAGGTTGGGGTTTAATTAAGGTAAAGAGAAGTAAAAAAAATGTCATAAGTTACGATAGAATCACTAGATCTAACTGATGAAAAGAAAAACCTGAAATGAAAATAGTGAACATTCAAACAATAAGAAAATACTCAAACTATAGGCTATAGTAATAGTAAGATCAAATAAACATTAGAAAGAAAAAAAAACGTGATTTAAAACATGGATACAAGTTGCATCTCACAATGCTTCTAGAATTAATAAAGTTGTTTCTTAGGACATTCAGTTTTTAAAGAGCAGAATTTAAAAAAAAAAATGCTTTGTTATACGGACTATACAACAAGACAATCATATTTAAATACATTTTCATACGAATAGAAATGAAAGGGAAGCTACTCTAAATAACATTTTCTTAAGATGGCTGCTGTTTTTAATAGCAAATTTACTATCTCGAACAGGGTTGATAAAAATTAATTTCAGGATATTTAAATTGATTTAACCATAAATGGTGATCTATTATTCAATTATTTATAATATTTTATCAAAATATACGAAAATATACTCATATTTAATGACATATTCATTATTGCACTCTCTCCTACATTACTAGTTTTGGCCGAATTTACGACGCTAAACTAAGATTTTACCCTACGTAGGCCTAGCTAGTAGTAGTAGCTAGCTAGGGGCCACTGTGGAGACTGGAGACGGAGACTAACTCAACTGGGGATGAGAGACTCACCATTTATAAGTACTTAGATAAATTGTCACTCTAAACGCAGCGTATAAATGAGTCTGTTGTAGATCCAGATCAGTAGTAAATTCTAGATTAGATCTTGCTTAGATTCTAGCTGTCTACTCTCGTTAGTCTATCCGGTGTCAAGTTTTTAGTTCGATTGTATACAATAGCATAAACGGCTGTTTGATTAGGAGCTCTTTTATTTATGGAATACATAGGCACCCTACAGACCAGAGGCCAGATTGTAGGTTTATTCAATGCGTATTTTAAATTTCGCAGTGTTTTAAGTTTGCTTAGTTAAAATAGTTAAATTAAGAAAAAATCTAATACAAATCACAAAAGATGTGTTCTCTTTGATTGGTTTTATTTTTTATAACTAGTAGACTCTACCACCTAATATCTTTTCGACGATACAGATTTTAGTTTAGATTTTGGCCAACATTTGTAAAAATATTATCTGACCCTTTTTTTTAAATCAACTATTGCCGGCCAAATCTACTCCGCTTTCTGCTTCTAGTTAGTCGACTCGCTAATTCTACAATTTCTTGTAATATATTTAAGCTAGATCTAGATCTAGCAAAAATAATAAACTAGATTGGATTTAATATATTAATATTATAATTAGGCTGCTAGATCTCTAGATTTATCTTATTATATATTATAACTAGATCTAGATCTACTAACTACTCGATCCCTAGCCTAGTACTAGATCTAGATCTACTACTACTTCTAGATATAGATCTAGATCTAGTACTTCTGACATCAACAACACATCTAGTCTAGAAAATAATCTAGATCTAGAGATTTTCTAGATCCTCTCAGATAACAATTCTTTACTTACAATCACAATACCTTCTTGGCTTCTTAGGCCTACATAAAACATACCCAGAGTTTCTTCCAGACTTTCTTCTGCGGGGGGGGGGGGGGGGGGGGGGGGGGGGGGGGGGGGCACTGTTAAAAGTAGGCTATATAATATATTTTTTATATAAATTTCGTTCGGGGAGGGGGGCGTTAGTATTTTAGGGGGGAAACCCCCCCTCCCCCCAAGAGATGCCTGGAAGAAACTGCATATATACCTTCTTTTCCTACATAGTCACCATTGAAGATGGGAAGGGTAGTGATAATAAATAAGGGAGAGATAATTGACACAAATGCATCTGCAGAAAAGAAAAAGCTTTCAATGTTTTATGGCAAAAAAAATCAGTTTGAGTGATGACACTTAAATTCTATAGAATCTAGGCCTCTTTTAATACATAAACAACGTTCATAGGTCTTTTTTTTTTAAATTATTACCGATTAATTATGCAAGTTTTGTTGGTTCAGTTTTTACACCTTTAAATGTAAAACCAGTCAAACATTTTAAAATAATTATTTAAAAAGCAATTATCCTTGAATTCTAAGTTTACTTAATATTTCATACATGTAATTTTTTTTTGCAGGGTTTCTTAGTTAAAAAAAAACAATATAACATGATTGGCTGTGTTGCATCTGTTGTGTTTAATTGCATTGTTGGATATATTTGGTACAATGGAAATTGGCCCATAGGCAAGTTTTGGTTGAGTCGCAATTTTCCCGGGCACAAAGAAGTTGATCACCAATTAGAAATTGGGATAAATGTTGTCATCGGTATTGTACGCAGTTTGCTGCTGCAATTTATCCTGGTGTAAGTAGGGAATGATAAACATTTCTTAACACTAAATGTGGCTATTTTTGTTTCTCTATTTATCAACCACGCAGCATATTTTTTCATAATAATGGATTCATTATTTTAACCATACTGCTCACATTATTATAATAAAATACTTTATTTAATTTTAATACAAATTAAAATGTTCTTTTATACTCCTGTTTTGATACTTGCAGAGATTTCTTCCATGCAACACTGTTGATTGAGGCAGTCAAGTTTGGTGTTGGACTAGGTTGTTTGGCTACACTTCTTGCCATGCCCAATGTTTTGTTTGCCAGGCGTCACTTTGATGCTTTTATTGTTGATGAGATTTACAATCTCATCATTATGGTGGGTGATTCTGCATTAATTGTATATTTTGGGTAGAGAAGTCTGAAATGTCAAATCCAATTTTAGATCTGAAATAC